TATGTATTACTTTAATTAATTTAACATTTTTAAGTATTTTATTTTATTCGCGTTATGAATGAAAATCAGGAAACAGAAATATTGTAAAAATATAATTTCAGTGAAACTTCAATTTACAAGAGCATCAAATTTTTATAAAGTAGTGCATCATTCATTTCAGTTACATTTCTTCTCATTTGCATATAAACTTTTAAGTAATGGCAGTATGCAGCAATAGGTATTTGGGGAAATGGAGTGTATGTTTTCGAATGAAATTATGATACTGTATTGATACATTGGTGAAAATTTTGAACACATTGTAATTGCAGTACTTTTGAACGATTTTCAAGGAGAAATTTTGTAAATAGTTGAAGGAAGGAGGGGAGGATACTTGGGGACCTGAGTCGACGCAACACCCATTCAATTTCATCGTTACACCACAAAAAATTTCAGAAAAACGCAACTCATTTATTCTCATCATTCTGATCTTTTTATTATTAATTCATAGACATATATATTAACCGTCAACAGTAAAAGATAATAGAGAAGAATTATTCAAAAATAAAGTGAGATAATTTATGAATGGTTAAATTGACCCATTGAGTATAAGTGGGTTATTTTTAGATAAGAAGTTTTTGTTTTGTGATGTAACGTGAATATGTAATGCGGTAATGTGTCATAGAGACCAGCAATGACTGCCGATTTTAATGTAAAACTATTAACATGTAACATTTGTATCATATTGAATACTAATTATTCATTGTAGGTATATGAATGAGTGGTTCTCCATAAACACGTGATCTTAGATTTCATATTTTGGGCAGTCAAATATATGGATTATTAGATTTAAATATTATATAGATTTTTTCTAATTTACAAGCATTATTTTATGAAGAAATTATACACCTCCTATTCATATTTTTCAAAATATGGCACACACAGTTTACGTTTAAATGACAGAAAAACCATATCAGAGATATATTGTAAAATAGTGTATTTCACGTATTAAACAGATGATCATTTTTGTGGATTTTGTACAGTGAAATACGTGCGTTGTTCGTTGTTAAAACAAAGTTTCTGGTGACATATTGGAACGTAGAAAGCCTACATTTGATTACTCGAATAAAATTTAAATGTATTTGTAATCGAATACATTAAAAACTTGATGATTTATAATCGTGGAACAATCAATACGGTTTTTAATAAATTAAACTTTACTGAAAATATATTTTTATTTTTACCCGAAATTGCTTCCTTTTGAACATTTTCAAATATTAAATCTTTAATAAACACGAAATTTTCTATAATTATATTCAATAATTTTAATTGCATTCAAATAAAAGTAATAAATATATTTTAACTTCCGGTTTCGCGTGATTTGCGATTCAAAATGGAGATTTTTTTTAATACCATGGAAGAAGAAAATGTTAATGAAGAATGCTGCAGTTTTTGTTCTTCTTGTAAATCTTTTTTACATTCTATATGTAGCGTCGGAGAACCATCTTTCTTCGAATTAGATAATGAAAACAACACAAAAACAGAGATAGAAAAAAAAGCGAATATTACAAGCAATAGCGATGAATTAAATAAAGTTGTAAATGAATTTGTATCAAATAGTCATACCAAAGAAGAAACTTATGTTAAAAACATTAGCCATTCTAATATAAATTCAATAGAACCTCATACATATGAAGATCAAAAAGTAAATGAAACAAATTACGAAAAAATTGATTGTTCTACAAATAAAAAGATAAAATATGTTGAATCATTACATGAAGTAAATACAGACACATTTAACATTATCTCTACTAAATGTCTAAATTTTAAAAATAATTTAAGTGATAATGTTCATTTGGAGAAAATAAGCATTAATCAGAATACTAAAGAAAGTAAAAATTATGCTACACTATCTAATGTCGTAAAACGTAAAACTTTCATGGTAATTACACCTACTTGGGACAATATACCAAATCACAAGGCTTTAGAAACGAAAATATCATTAAAATATAAAAAAACGGATACATTAACAAAATCTGTACCATTTACCAATGATGGTGTAGATAGTTGCCCTATAACAAATTTGTCTTTAATAAAACTTCAAAATAAAACTAATTGCAGCATCAAGGATATTTTAGTCCGTCGTAAAAACATACTTAAAACTATTAAATCAATATCGTACCTCTGGTAAGTATTTAAAAACACACAAATCTTATTTTCAAATTTTATTTCATTGTTTTCTTTTTAGTAAATATATGAATATAATGCGTGAAATTATCATTCAAGAAATTTATAAGGAATAGTCGATTCAAAGATGTTAAAAAGAAATTTAAGAACAAAAGTATTAAAATTTTCGCAAATCAAAGTTTTCTTACAAACATTAATACAATAATTTATTGTACATATGGATTTTTTTTAAAGAACAATTTTAATATTATGTTTTAAAAATTAGTAGAGCATTATGTATAAAAATATTGTTAATATATTTATGTAATTTATACCATATCAAA